TGCTGTTGGAGAATTTCACTCACATCCTGTCTGGTAAAATGGATATTACTTTGACAGCAGTCTGCCAGCTAGGGAGATATTATAGGATATATAATCTATATATATTTACAACTATAAAGACATGAATAGTCATTGGTTATAAGTATGAACTGAAATCGGAGAGAAACAAGATGTCCAGGGAAAAGACAGATATCTCAGGTATAATAGACATTTATTGATGTGAAAAGGTGCTCCTTATTATATAACATGTTACATTTTTTTAATTGCAGGAATGTATAACTGATTTTGATATTTCAGTTTGTAGATATACAATTGTTAGTAAAGGTGCAGAAAGGTAGGGAAGAGTATGGAGGATAGGGGTAAACCATCTTTTGATTTGTATATTTACGTTGTATGTTTATAGGTATTATTGATGTACTCAATGATATCTGCTTTAGTTTGTGTCTAATATATAAATATTGATTTCTTTGTAAATGTGTGTATTACTTTGTTGTTGAATTGTAATATTAGAGTTCTCTGATATTTTGGGCAGGGTGGATTTGATTTAAATCAAACTGATTTATATCACAATTTAAATCACTAGTCAGTAAGGCTGGATGTAAATCCTAGTTTTCTACATAAAGACTAATTCTTGCTGGTATAACTTTAATATGCAAGTAGATGAAGATTTTTAGAATAACAACTTTTAATATTAGTTTTTTATCCCCAGTTTAATAGGTTAATCATTCATATTTGGACAACTTTTCTGTTGTACTTAGGAAGGAGAAAAATAATCATTACCTTAATAATAACAATTTAAATAGATTTATTCAACTGAAACAATAACATTCCAGCATATGTGATTTGCTTAAACATCCATGTTTGGTAACTAATTTGGCTAAACAAAATATATATATTTTAGGAAACTCAGACTGTCAGCCCCTTCCTCCTCACACTGTCAGCCCCTCCCTCCTCACACTGTCAGCCCCTCCCTCCTCACACTGTCGGCCCCTTCCTCCTCACACTGTCAGCCCCTCCCTCCCCCTGTCGGCCCCTTCCTCACACTGTCAGCCCCTCCCTCCTCACACTTAGTTTCACTTTCTTCTTGTGCAGATCTATTCCACTCCAAACAATCAGAAAAATATTGTTTCTATTCTATTCACTGAACTTCTTGAAACTTAGCACTGAAGGGGTTGATTCTGTATTCATAGGTTTGTAGAAGTTAGGATGAAGGTCTTTTTCTTAACTCTGTTCATGTTATAACATTTTTGCTGTGAAGAAGAGGCATGTGATCTCCGCTGAGTCAAATTCAGTTTTGAGAACTGCAAAAGTAAACCAATCATCTGTGATAATATCTTGTAGGCAGAGAAACTGCCCAATAATCTTACAGAAACCTCTGGAAGAGCATGACATTGTGAATGGATTCATGGAATTTATTTACCAAAAAAATTAAACATATACAGCCTTATTCTACATAATTAAAAAACGAATCTTTATTTCATGGTGGAATAACCTTTGGATGGTAATATATTTTCCTCAAAAAGCATTTTATTTAAAAAAATCAGATTTAAAAAAAAAAAATCAGATTTAAATAAAAAAAATCCGCTTTTTTTTAAAATTTTTTTAAAAATAATCATTGATTTCTATCCACCCTGATTTTGGGCAGCACAGTGGCTAAGTGGTTAGCACTTCCACCTAGCAGTACCTGCCTGACGTTTGCATGTTCTCCCTGTGCCTGTGTGGATTTCCTACAATTTCCTCCCACATTCCAAAGACATGCTGGTAAGATAATTGGTTCCTGTCTAAATTGTCCCTAGTATGTGTATGTACGAATGTGAGTTAGGGACCTTAGATTGTAAGCTCCATGAGGGCAAGGACTGATGTAAATGTATAATATAAATATGTAAAGCACTGTGTAAATTGATGGTGCCATTTAAGTATCTATAATAAATAATATTTCACTCTGGGAGTTGTTTTATCATAAACTGCCCTGGCTGAGAACCTTTGAGAAACGAAGTGAGAAATATTTCCAAGCAACCGCCAAAGTATACAGTGAGGTGATTTTATACCAGCTGCATGATAACAAAAAATAATGAAAATTAGCAGCCTTATCTATTCATTGCATGTACAATAATGTAATTAATGGATTTCTAAAAAGGGTAATTGGGGAGTTTCTAGGTAAACAATAAATTAGAGAAAATAAAGAACGCATTAAAGTTGATGCAACCAGGTTACCAGGATACGTTGTGAAAGACCGAAGGAGTAATGGAAATATAAACACACATTTTAGCAATCTAAATGATACGTACTTCTATTGGCTGATTTAGTGCAGAAGTCCATAGCAACTAGATTAACAATGACAACAGCTTAGCAAGCAAACCCTATTCTAGAATTTTTAAATCTGAAGTAATTACATAAATGTATTATTGTAGTTAGTGCATAACACGGTCAGATGATGTGAAGAATAATATAAGATTGTTGGCTCCAAAATTAATAAACCCAAGCTTGTAATTTATGCGTACATACAGTATACATAAAACCTAACATGCACAAAGCTGTTCCTTAGTGTTAGCAAAACCATTATTATTATTATTATACAGTATTTATAAAGCGCCGATAGTTCGCTCAGCGCTGTACATTACAAAGGGGGACAGAACATGTCACAGAACAATAACAATACAATGCAAAACATTTCACTTTGAAATATTTTAATCTATTATTATAGAGAAATTTTAAATGATCTGTCTTTTGTTTGAGTCATAAAGCTTCCCCATCTTACTGCTGATCATTTATTTATTTCAGGTACTTATATAGCGCCATCAATTTACGCAGCACTTTACATATATATTGTACTTTCACATCAGTCCCTAACCCTCAAGGGGAGTACAATCTAAGGTCCCTAACTTACATTCATGGGCCAATTTAGACAGGATTCAATTAACCTACCAGCATGTCTTTGGAGTGTGAGAGGAAACTGGAGTACCCCGAGGAAACCCACACAGGCACAGGGAGAACATGCAAACTCCAGGCAGGTGGTGCCGTGGTTGGGATTCGAACCAACGACCCTAGTACTGCCAGGCGGAAGTGTTAACCATTTAGCCACTGTGCTGCCTCCTCTTCTTTTCACTTTTACTTTTTCCAGTATATAATTTTCAGTGAGCTGATTTATCTGATAATCTGTCTAAAATAGGACAGTGTTAACCTAATCACCTTTACTTCTATTGAAAGTTCTGGCTTACTTTGTTGCCCTTTTTATACTGTTACACTGCGTTAGTGCACATGTGCTAATGAAACCAATTCATTTGGAAAGGCTGCCTAATCCACCAAAAAGCACCAAAAAGGTATGTTTTATAATGCAGTGCCCTACAATGTATGGTAGCACATTACACTGCATTGTGTTCCACTGCAGGGTTTGTTTGATGCCATTTGGAATGAATGACACTGCATAACATACACACTGCAGCACAGTAGTGTAAATGGGGCCTAAAAGATACCTTTTGATCTTTTTCCTGCTGTCCACAATGTTCTTAGAATTCTTTGTCTACACCAAACTTGAAAGGCAATATGTTTACTATCATAATGTAGCAGTTATAGAAATAATAGTTTTTCACGAGATTGCACTTCACCCTTTCACTGCTTAGCAAGTCTTCAATAAGAAAACCTTTCTCTTTAAAGAAGTCTATCCTGCTTCTACCTAGTAAACCGCCATTTATTTCCTCCATCAGCCCCTCCCCCCACAACTATTACCTTTTGTATCACTCAACCCTTCCTCCTAGATTGTAAGCTCTAATGAGCAGGGTCCTCTGTTTCCTCTTGTATCAAATTGTATTGTAACTGTAATGTCTACCTTCAATTTGTAAAATGCTGTGCAAACTGTTGGTGCAATATAAATCCTGTATACTAATAAAAAATAATAATAACTAGAAAATCTACAATTTCTGGGGAAATTGTGTGAAGTGTTCTTGCCTCCACCAGTAGTCTACAACTGGAGTGGGTGGAGTAGCTTTTGTCACTCTGGCTGCTGACACACCTGGGTTCCTATGGCAACTCACTCTACAGCAAGGGGAGAGGCATGGTTATAAACAAACTGCTCTAACTTGCTCACTTCACTGGCGGTTGCCATCTTCAAACGGTTGTAGTTTTAAAAGTATAAATCCTACAGTGAAAAGCTTTATATTGTGAGAATCACAAGACCCAGACCTACATTTTGATGCATAGTATGTCTCTGAAATATTAAAAATGATGGCACAGTCACAGTTTAGAAATTGCCCTTCAAATTTCAGGTGTCTAGAGTGGAGTTTCAATGAATGTCAATGGGCAGCGTGAGTTGCAAACAAATGGTTATATTGTGAAAACTATCAGGACTATGGCTTAGCCGTGGATATTTTTAGTGGCAGCAGGGATAGCTGAACGTTTTGATATATGATTTGTGTAGGTGGGCTTGAAAATGAGGGAGTGATGGCAGTTTAGAAATCATGTCCTGATTTGTCAGCTCCCAGCTTTTGTCAGCTCCCACTCTAGTTTTGAACATTCCGCCATTCATTCCTATGGGACCAATTTCACCACAAAAATGTTGATATTTCGTGAACCATTCTGCGAAACGTTCCACAAAGTAATAGCACACAATCGGGAACAATCCGCACGTTTCGGTATATTACTGTCTATGTAGTGTAAAAACTGTGGGAGGAGTTAGGGTGGTAAATTTTCCTATAATAATAAGAATATATATGTGAGATAACAGGAAGTGGTCGCCATGCAACAACACTTAATAAGTCTTTCGGGGACGTTTACTAAACATGGAGCACACAGAATCTGGTGCAGCTGTGCATAGTAATTATTCATTTTCTAACATCAGCTTCAGAGTTCAATTAAGCTTTGACAATAGAACCTGGAAGCCGATTGGTTCCTATGCACATCTACACCAGATTCTGTGTGAAACAGTTTCAGTAAATTTACCCTAAACTGAAGTGAAAGGACAGGAAAAAACTTGGAAAGACTGGAAAGAAATCATCCACTGTCACCCTGAGCAGGGGCGGACTGACAGCTCATGGGGCCCCCGGGCAATAGGGGATCATGGGGCCCCTGTGTCCTTGCCCAAACTCAAAAAAGCCTATGAAAAAGGTACCAGGGGCATCTCATGGGGCCCCCTACTGACCCCGGGCCCTCGGGCAGTGCCAGAGTTTCCAAATGGTCAGTCCAGCCCTGGCCCTGAGAGAAGATACCTCTACAGTTTGCTTACACTAAAAATAATGGATTACTCCTTGTTAAAGGTGCAACAAATATCAAAGAGCCTTTATAAAGGGGATGACTTACTAAAGGCAAATATACTGTGGACTGCAAGTGCAGTTGCCCCAGAGCTTAATAAATGAGGTAAAGCTTTGCAAAGAATACCCAATCACATGCAGGAAAAGAAAAAAAACAGCATTTTTGCTTGCACATGATTGGATGATAGAAATCAGCAGAGCTTCCCATCATTTCAGCGTTTCCCCCCAGATCTAGAGCAACTGTACTTGCAGTGCTTAGACTATTTTCTTTTAGTAAATCTACCCCAAGGTATATTTAAGCTGGTAAATTGATTGGTAAATTAGCTCAGGTTGCCCCTCAGGGCTCTTCAATCTTTAGGCAGCAGGAGTTGGTGGGTTTGTCAGGGGTGTAGCTTCCTCCTCCACTCCTCCCACAGACTCCTTCATTCTGATCCCACATCTGAGGAAGGGGAAAGAGGAGGTGTGGGCAAAACTGCACAGGAGAGTCTTCATCTCCAGCCATGTGGCAATACCCTGACGCTCTATACTGCCGCAGCATGCCATTATGGTGACCTATCCTGACAATAAACTGTCCTTGTCTGACACAGTCACACTGTGCAGATAATGGCTGTGTGCAGGGGCGGACTGACAACTCATGGGGCCCCGGGCAATAGGAAATAATGGGGCCCCTGTGTCCTCTTCCCACACTCAAACCACACCCAAAAAAGCCTATGAAAGGTACCAGGGGCATCTCATGGGGCCCCCCACTGACCCAGGCCCTCGGGCAGTGCCCAAGTGACTACATGGTCAGTCCGCCCCTGGCTGTGTGTTAGGGTATTGAATCTCATCTATGTGCTGTGTGGGGAGGAGGAGCTCTTTTGCCTGTGCCCAGGCTTTGTGCAGTGCTGGGATGGTAGAAGTAGCGCTGCTGAGTGTCTTGCCAAAAATGACCCCTGTTTTCTGCCCTGCCAGAAGTGACCCTGTCCTCTGCCCTGCGGATCCCTGAACACTGCCCTTCTGACCCTCTTCCTCCGCCCTGCTGATCCCAAACACTGTCCTTCTGACCCCTGACCTCCACCCCGCTGCCCCCTGTACACTGCCCTACAAACTAATGGCCTCTGTACACTACCCTACAAACTGTTGACCCTGTCCTCTGGCTTGCTGATCCCTATACACATGCTATACACGCTGGCCTCCTATCCTCTGCTCCCCTAAGATTTTTTACTGCACCCCCACAATAGACAGGCTAGATCCGGACCTGTCAGCATAACCATCAGGCTCTACCCACTGTCCAAGATCAGTCTTGCATTATTGGTTGCTAGGATACTGTCATCCTGTGCAAATGGAAGCCTGCAATGGCAGCCCCTACCCTGATAAATCTGGCTTGGCTTTAGAACGCCAACTTAGTGTTGTTTTAGCTAATTCCAATTTCATTATCTATGAACTGGTGGTAATTCTTACTGAATTCATCAGAACCAGGGGCAGACTGACCATTTGGAAACGGGCAGTGCCCGAGGGCCCGGGGTCAGAAGGGGTCCCCATGAGATGCCCCTGGTACCTTTTTCATAGGCTTTTTTGAGTATGGGCAAGGACACAGGGGCCCCATGATCCCCTATTGCCCGGGGGCCCCATGAGTTGTCAGTCCACCCCTGTACAGTAATAAGCGCTAATAAAAAGCACTGACACTATACTAATGCCACTGGGCAGGTAGGGGTTAACATCTGGGCGATCAAAGGGTTAACAGTGTGCTGTGCTGGATTTTACATAGTGTGCTGTGTGTGTTTTACTATGTAGACAATCTGCTTTCTATTGCTCTGCTGTGCAGAGCAATACAAAGCAGCCTGTTCATGCTGACAGGGGAGAGATCTGTGTTATTTACATACAGACCTCCCCAGTCAGCTCTGACAATAATCACCCGGTGATTGACATGCCGAGGAGCCAATAGCAGCGTGGGTAGGGAGTGCGCGCGCGCGCCCCCTACCCGGAAATGCAAAATCACATATATACAAGTGATTTTGAGCATCCTTCCGGTCAGGGAGTGGTTAAAGGAGTTGTTCATATGTTCTTACCACTGATTTATGATTTATATATGGTTAGTACAAAAACCCACTGATTCTGGTTGAGTCCATAACTAATCTCTCTTGCCTGTGGGTTGTACAAAGAACTTCCTGACCTGTCAGAACTGTTAACAAAATTGATGCAAGGCTTTGATGACTTTATTAGGCGCAGAGCTTTGTGAGTTGCTTTATTGAATTGCCCCCAACATTTTCTATGGCAAAAGCAAAATAATATTTTTATTGTTTATACATATGCCCCATGGATACGATGAGCATAATGAGCGGCATGTCAGCCAGGATGCACAAAAGTTATGACAAAATATCCTTAGAAATATATAAATCCAAAAAAAAAATAACTTTCTGCACATTGTATTAATATACTGTATAGCAGTCTATTTTACCAATAACAATGGATCAAGACTTACTGCCAATAGTAATGGTTCTAAGACTTAACTATATAAAGGATAATCCTTAAAGTTAAATAAATGGAATATATTGCTGCTTACCATTCCTGAAATGTGGTGGCTGTATTATTATTTTTTTCCCTTTATTTTAATTTAGTAATCCTGCCAGTAACACAACGACTGCCCTAGGGTGAAAACAGTAACGCATTACGTGCTATCTATGGAGGCGCAGCGTTGTTGCCCTAGGACAGGAAGTCATGTGGGACTACAGAACACCTCCCCCTCTCCTCATCCCCATATCATAGGGATTTGTTCTGTAGTTTGTATACTTTAACTGCCCAGTGCCTAATTACATTGCTTGGGATAACACTTCAGAACGTTACAAGCACTGGTGGACTTCAGGGGTTACAGGCTTCGCAATGGTGACCCCGCCCAAGCTCCAGGGGGCTCATGTGGCCTCCCTGTCATATTATTTTTTGTGGTGTGGGAGGTGCTGTCACAAGAACCGATCCCCTATATGGCTCTCCATCAGGGGCAGACTGACAACTCATGGGGCCCCCTGGGCAATAGGGGATCATGGGGCCCCTGTGTCCTTGCCCAAACTCAAAAAGCCTATGAAAAAGGTACCAGGGGCATCTCATGGGGCCCCATACTGACCCCAGGCCCTCAATAGGGGATCATGGGGCCCCTGTGTCCTCGCCCAAACTCGAAAAAGCCTATGAAAAAGGTACCAGGGGCATCTCATGGGGCCTCCTACTGACCCCGGGCCCTCGAGCAGTGCCGAGTTTTCAAATGGTCAGTCCGCCCCTGCTCTCCATGCAGTGGCTGAAAGCCGGCTTCTTCTCCTTTAGCTCCTGCAGCTTTCAGCTGCTGCATGGAGAGTCATACAGGGAATAGGTTCTTGTAATTGCCCCCCGCTGCACTGATCTCCCCCTCCTGTACACTTGGATTCCCCTCTGCTGCTTGCCCCCCTCCTGTTTGCCCCCACCCCTCCCCCATCTGCAGCAATGCTGGCTTCCCTCCTCTCCTGCTGGCTGCTGTAGACACACAAGGGGATCTACAGAGCAGGGAAGGGGCCAGTAAATATGTCATTTACCGGCTCCTTCTTTTCTGAATGAACACAGTGAGTGATCGTGGGGGGCCCACAAGCTTCAAGCTAGACCTCTGGTTACAAGCTTCCTAGATGTCTGGCAAGATCAACAAGTATTACACTTATCAAACAAATAAAACAAAACAGTTTCAATGGTATATTTAACATACAAAAAAAGGCCATAGGGGATAGGGGATGATGGGGCCCCTGTGTCCTTGCCCAAACTCAAAAAAGCATATGAAAAAGGTACCAGGGGCATCTCATGGGCCCCCCTACTGACCCCGGGCCCTTGGGCAGTGCCCGAGTTTCCAAATGGCCAGTCCGCCCCTGGGCCAAACATACATTCATTTTTAAGGTTTACTGTAAGGCACATACCGTATTGTTCACTTTAATGAATTACACTGACATATCATTTGTATAAAACGTCTGCAGAGCCTGTTATAAGTCATGCTGTTTGTTATTCTTTCTTTTTTTACACATCTCCACAAAGAGTATTAAACAACTTTCTTATGGTTTAATTAAAAATTGAACTCTGTTCACTGGGCAGCTCTGAAAGCTCCACATCCACAAGCTGCTTTCCACATCCATTTATTTAGTCAGTTAGCTACCTAGGCTGCTTGATCCGGATTTTGAATAAAAGCTCTGTGTATGTTTCAGGAGGGGTTCTCAACTTAGTAACCTGTCCACTTAGTACAGTACATTTCAACCTATTGTTTTATGATTATTTAGGCGTCATGCCAACAAATGCTGACAAAATGGATTGATTCAATCTGATTCATGTAGAGCTTAACAGGGTCAAACCAGGCAAAGAAGTCAGAATTCCTTATAAAAGATGAAATCTCATATTTTTTTTTGTCTTTAAAGGGAAATATGAATCTCAAACAAATACAAAGCTTAAAATGAGTTGAGTACTTATGTTTGTATATGGTACGATTTTTCTTAACAGGGAATGCATTGGCATTTCAATAATTTTTGAATTGATACAATATATACTTTGAATATAATGACAAATTGCATGATTTAGAAAATGCTATTAATATGTTTTAATTTTAAACAGGTTTTTTTTCATCTGGTAACTATAGATAATACACTGTATATTTGTAACAGACTAACTGAAATCTAAGACCACAGAATATAAATAACATACAAAATAACTAAAAATATATAACAATAGCATATCAAATGTCAGAAGCAGTAATAAGCTTCTCCACATCCGCCAGCAACCAATTTTCAAAAGGTATAGGTGTAAATGGGCACATAAAAAAGTTCAAGTGCTAAGTTTTCTGTCTGTCAGGTTAAAGAACAGATATTGGCCTTATGCATCCCTTTTCCAACGCCTCTGGCTGCACATTCCCTTGTAAAAGCATTTATTCAAGCTGTTTCTCTATCAGGTACACTTGCAGCATTTTTA